CCAGAAGGCATGGTGGGGGAAACTCAGCATGGGGCGCAATGCCCACGCTCGTGGGTGACAGTGCTGTCAATGTGGGGACAATATCCCCGGGTGCTCAAGTGGTCCTGGTCAAAATCCCAAAGGGTTTACTTTTTCTCAGGAATGGAAAAGCTGGTCTTAATATTTGGATGGGATCTCAAGGAGCCCTGAGGAGACAGAACGACCTTGACAAACCCCACTTCCCAGTTCACCCCGAGATGTGAAAACAGCACGGAGCAGACAGGACAGATGCCCAGGCCCAGAAAGCAGAAGTGCAGCCCAGAGAGCCCACGGCCTGGTCAGCGGCTTGGGAACCAAGACAGCTCTTCCAACAAGCGGGGCTGGGCACGGCTGGTCCAGATCGGGGCTTGATTGGGACCCCGCCTCGCCCAGTGTGAGGAGTTACTCAGAAAGGCCCAAAGATGACCCCTGAGAGCCAAGACCACACATGGCCAGGAGTGGACAGGTGCACGCCTCCCGGCCTTGGAAGAGATGCGTGCTCCGTATGGGGACATTGAAGGAGAGCCCAACAGCAGAGGGGAGGGGCCTCGGCTTGTCAAGAGGACAGTGTGCCTTGGAGGGGCCTCGGCTTGTCAAGAGGACAGTGTGCCTTGAAGAACCCCGGGCAGAGGGAAGCAGCCCTGCACAGGGAGGAGGGCCGCGAGTCACGGGGTTCAGGGCGCAGAACGGGATCAAAACATCCAGCCACAGGAAGAGGAGGAGCCGCCTGGAGTGGGCGGAGCCCCTGGACAGGAAGCTCAGACAGGACATGAGCAGACGGCCGATGAGTGTGTGACATTCACCCCGACCCTCAACCACAGCGAGGCCCCCCTCGACGCCCGCCAGGCTGGCCTCAGTAATGGCAGCGACAGAGTGATCACAGGAAGACAGTGAGTACCACCTGGCACCCTCACACACTGCCGCGAGGCAGGTACAATAGGGCAGCTGCGGACAGTTCCTCCCAAAGCTAAACTCAGTCTCCTTCTGTGATCCAGAGATCCCACTCCTAGGAGCACACCCAGAGGACTAAGGGCAGATGTTCAAACAGAAACCTGTTCACTGCACTATGTGTGATAACAACAAGATGGAAACCACCCATGGTCCACCACTGGAGTAATCCAACTGGGATGAGTGCACGCAGCAGAATATTATTCACCCATGAAAAGGAATGGAGTCTCAGTACATGTGACAACATGATGAGCCTTGGAAACATCATGCTGAGAGGAAGGAGCCAGCCACAGGAGACTACACACTGCAGGATCCCACTTAGGGACATGCCCAGAGAAGGCAGAGCCACACAGGCAGAACCCCAAAGGTTGACTGCCAGGGCTCCAAGCACAGGAAATGAGGAGCGCTCCTCGCTGCCTACGCAGCTCCTTCCGAGGTGAGTAAATGCTCTGGAATTAATGGTGTTGATTGAATGACATTGTAAGTTTAGTAAAAGCCACTGAATTGTGGACTTTAAAGTGGATAAAACAGTGGATTTTTATCTCAACAAAAAGAAGGAAAAGACTTACGTGAACCAACCCATGGAGCAGAGCTCCAGTGAGATGGCAGTTTAACAGTGAATGGTTAGAGGGAAGCCCGCGCACGACTGACTGCAGTGTGTGGCTGGACCCCGGGGCACTCCGCGGGCACCAAAGGCCGTCACTGACGCTGCTGCAGGACGCTGGGCTTGCCTCGGTGAAGACCAGCTCCTCGCTGAGGGAGGCGGGTGTCACACATGTGCGGGTGACCTGACGCAGGTGACCTGATGCGGGGGACCTGATGCGGGGGACCTGACGCGGGGGACGGAGGCTTCCTTCCACTTGCTTTCCTTATGCTGGGAATGTGCTGCTGCCCGCCCTTAGCAAAGGCTCAAGAGCTGTCACTTCTGCCTGAGAAGTTCCAGACGTCTGTGATCACCCATCAGCAGTACCACAGGTGGAGGCGTCCGCTCGCCACCAGTGCCCAGCAGCCCGCATTCTACGCCAACCGCGGAGCGAGCCTCGGACTCCTGGGCTTAAATCCCCTCCATCACAGTGACTGTCCCGGGGAAGGCGGCTCATTCTGCTTCTCTTAGGCATTTCTAAGCTCGGTGACATTCACGGGACACAAGGGTCAGAAGCCCAGCATCTCCGTTCTTTGATCTCCACAACTTCCTAGTCAAGGGGGAGGTGAAGAAAAGTCAGACCCAACTACGTCCCGTGCCCCTCGGATCTGGTAGGGAGGAAGCCTGAGCAGAGAGACAGGTCTTTGAGAGTCCCCTTTGCGTTTCGACCCTGAGGGTGAGGACATGCGCTCCCAGCACATTGTAAACCACGGGAACATCAGGACTTCCCCAGGGGTGCGGCCAGGCCTTGTCTGCGCCCTCACTCTTGGAGGGGCCCTGGGAACGGCACGGGGGCACCCTGCAGCGGAGCTCGCGCTGGTCCTGTGGTGACACCGCAGTGCGCTGGAGGAGTGGGGTGACCCGTCTCTGCTGGCAGGGAGGGAGCGGCACTCCCTGGACCACGAGGCGTGGACTGCTGGAGGGCAGCGCCTGGGATGATCGCCTGCGGGGCCGACAGAGCATGGCGTGCTTGTGCCCGAGCTACGCCCCGAGCTACGCCCCGGGTGGCTCCTTGTTCTGTGCTGAGACGGCTCTTCCCCCTTCTGCAGCCTTGCTGATGGGGGACAGGAGGCCAGGCAGCGGGAACTCTGCCCCTTCCCATCGGCCAGAGTGCAGAGTTGTGTCCTTAAGAGCACGTGAAGGGTGGGACTTCAGCAAGGAGCGATTTAACCACAGACCCAGCGCCACTCTGGTCCCAGTGTGATTCTAAATCTAGCAAAAGTAGAAGCAAGGGTCACACAAGCAGTTTCCAAATAAACACCTTGTCACAGAGTATGTTCAAGGATATGTAGAGGAATAGGATTATCCAGTACAAAAACAGATAGAACAGACAATGTCTGCATCTGATCAAGAGTTCACCGGTGTGGACAGAAGCAGGAAGTGGGAGGGGGAATGATGGAATAATTAGTAATTGGAGAATTTCCAAATTTATGAAAATCATAAACGCACAGATCCAAGCATTACAACAAGTCCCATGAACAAGAGTCACAAAGAAATCTACAATGATGTGTGTCATCCTCAAATTGTATAAAGCCAGTGATAAAGATGCATCATTTATTTTTGGCACTGGGGATTGAACCCAGGGGTGCTTCACCACCGACCTGCACCCCAGCCCTTTTTATTTTTAGTGAGACAGGGTCCTGCTAAATTGTGAGTCTGACCTTGACTTGTCAATCTCCGGCCTCAGCCTCCGGAGTCTCTGGGACACAGGTAGGACCACCACCTCCAGCAGAGAAAGATCTTAAATGTGCTGTGGGTGGGGAGAAATCCAAGGGTATCCAGAAGAACAAGAATGAGGATGACACCACGTTTATAAAATCACAGACAAGGTCTGTGAGATGAGAGCAGAGTCCACGTGAAACACTGAGACAGAACCGTGGCCCAGGCTTCTTTACGCAGTGAGAGCAGCTTCCAGACACGCAGGAGAAACAGACTGTGCAGGCACACGACAGACAAGAGTTGGTCACCAACAGACCTGCGTGGCTACAAGTGCTACACGAGTGTCTTTGGGGGAAGAAAACTGATCTGGGTGGGAAACTAGGTCTACACCAAGGAAAGAAAAGCCCCAAATGGCAACTCAGGAGGTAATCAGTGGTTTTTCTATTAGTCAGATTTCTGAAAGGTAACAGTTTAAGCTCTATAAAAAGAGAAACAATGTGATCTGAGGTTGTAATGTACGTGGAAGTGAAATGGGCATCACATAGGCTAGGGAGGAGAGGTGGAAAAGACGGAGACACGTATCTGCAGTGTGTCCACACTCCAGGTGTGAGCTATCAGAGTGGACTGTGAGGCCAAATGCGTACACTGCAAACTCTAAGCAGCCACTAAAACACCAGAAGGTAGAATAACTCCTGGTGAGGTAGTAAAGAAGATGAAATACATCCTAAAACGCACTTGGTCCAGGAGAAGACAGAGAAATAGGACAAAGCACAGAAGAAGAGTGGGAAAATTCAAAAGAAATGGAAAATTGGTAGACTTAAAACCAACCAGCATGATAATTACACTAAATGTAAGTGGTCAAAACCCCTTCTTGGAAGGCAGAGATTTTCAGATTGTGTGAGAAGATCCCAATTTCCATTTGCTAACTTGAGGAAACTCACTTTAAATACAAACACAGCCAGGCACAGTGTTGCACATCTATAATCCTAGTGACATGGGAGGCTGAGCAGAAGAATCTCAAGTTCAAGACCAGCCTCAGCAACTTAGCAAGGCCCTTAACAACTTAGTGAGACCCTGTCTCAAATAAAATAAAAATTTAAAAATGTGCTGGGGATGTGTTTCAGTGGTTAAGCACTCTGTGTTCAATCCCTAGAATCAAAAAACAAAACAAACAACAAAATAGATTAAAAATAAGAGGATATAAAAATAAATATTAAAGTGACGTTAGTCAATAGGGTAGCTGGAGTGGTTATATTAACATGAGACATAGTTTAGAGCAAAGGCTATGACTAGGGATGAAGTGGGACATTTCATCAAGACAAAATAATCCCAAAGCATAATGATCCTAAATGTTCATGAACATAAAACAGGTGTCCAAATACATAAAGCAAAAACTGAAGAAACTGCAAAGATAAATCCCGAACCCCAGATGACTAGCATTGATTTCAATATGCTTTTCCCAGTAACCAACAGAGTAAGACGTCGGGCTGGAGTGAGCATACAGAATCCACAAGAAATGAGCAACGAGACTCCAGGTAGGAGAAGAAAGAGCATCAGACAGACCCTGGCCAGTAGGAAAGCAGGAAATGTCAGGGAGCAGTGGCGAGCTCAGAGCCAATCCCTCGACATCACGAAACTCACAAAGCTCAGGTCAAGTTGTTCAGAAAAACAAAGGTGTAGAACCACAGATGGGCAGTGAAGCCGGGGCGTTCCTGCAGGGACTTGGGACACTTTGATTATATCAGTACATTTTAAAACTTAAATAAAATGGACATCTTTCTTGAAGTACAGAAAATACCAAAGTGCACTCAGGAAGAAACACAGAAGCTGAACAGTCACGTATCTATGAAAAATAGGTAACTGACCTTCTTGCAAAGGAAACTCGAGGCCGAGGTGGTTTCGTTGCTGAATGCAGCAAACCTTCAGGAAGGCGACGTGGCCACTGACCCTGCCACGTGGCCACTGACCCTGCCATGTGGCCAGAGTCTGAGCACCGTCCCTGCGGGGTCCAGGGCCGGCAAGGACACCCTGTGCAGGGCTCCATCTGACGCTGAGGCGCAGGTGCCAGGCAGGCACGAGGCTGTGCGAGGTGACCACAGAAGTCTTCGGACTAGAGGTGGCGTTCAGAAGGGACTCTCCACGTAGAGTCCCACGGAGGCTGCACCAGGAGTGCTAGGACTGTGAGCTGGTCAGCCAAGGCGCAGGACTCGGAGTCAAGATGCGGAAATCCGTCATGTTCTTATACGCCGTCAATAACCAGAAGTTGAAGTGGTGAGGCTCCAAGTATCATAAAACAGGACAGGCCCAGAGATAAACTGATAAAGGGGGTAAGGCTTTATGTTAAAAATCGCAAATCTCTGAAAAGCCTTATTAAAACAGACCTAAGTAGATGGAGAGACTCAGCATGGTACTGCATTGGGAGACCAGGGCCTCAGGGTGTCCACTCTCCCCAGTGCAAAGCCAATCAAAGTCCCAGCAGGCCCACGTTGGGAGAAACTGACAGTCGACTTCTGAAATCCACGAGAAAGACCAAGGGCTTCGGGGAGCTACGTAACCTGGAAACAGGAAACAGATGGGGGACCGTGAGTGCTGGGACCAGGACTGGATACGAAGGTGCAGCAGCTGGGCAGGGACGGTCCTCACACACAGCCCAGAAAGAGGAGGGTGGCCGGGGAACCCAGAAACAGACGGTGTGCACATGGACGGGTGTTGCCAAAGGCGTGAAGGAAACTCAGTGGAGAAAAGGGAACCTTCCTGTTCTTTCTAGAACAAATGGTGACTCATTAGGGTGGAAAAGCGGGCTTTGGTCAACTTCTTGCACCACATACGATTCACCCCAGTGACAGTAGACACGAGGGAGACCACAGAGTTCCCAGGGAAAGCGGTGGAGAAAACCCTGGGCCTTTGGTGAGGCGAATGCTTCTTGGGCTGAGCAGGGCTCCAGGAAGCTCAGGGGAGGGGAGGCCCACGGTGCTGGGCAGGAAGTGTCCCTTCCCAGAGGGGCAGGGCCCGGCACAGCGGGTGGCCGTGCACACTGACAGGGCCAGGTGGGAACTGGGGAAGTGCTTTCATCCTCTGAGTGACAGCATCAGAACCCGAGTAACTCGGAGCCTCTGCCCGGGGGTGGAGACAGCGTCCCCTCTCAGGGCTGCAGGCCTCTGCCCAGCCCACAGCTCCACATGAGGCCGCCATGCTGGGTTCTCACGTCCACGCGGCCAAGGGAAGCTGCCTTGGTGCTGAGGAGCTACCTCTATGGAGCCCCAGGGAACCCGATGGTGACCTGGTGACCGTGTTACTGGAGCTGAGTTAGGCAGCGCTGACTGCAGGCCATCCACGATGACACATCCCTAAGGCCGGGGTGGCCAGCAAGGCCCGCCTGTCCTCAGAAGGCCCTCCGAGGGGAGTCGGGCTTGAGGTCCTCTCTCATTTCTGCTGGGCCTTCCCTGCTCGTGGCCTGACCTTGCTTCTACACGTGTCCACAGGTGCCCCGTGCTGGGCGCCTCCCTGGCAGGCCTGTTCCCTTTCGCCTCATGCAGCGGAGGTCATGTGGTCTGGTTCCCTCTTAGGCAGGCCGGTGGCCACTTTGGTCAGCTCGACACCCATGCTTTCTAAGCCACGGCCAAGCCCTCGCTCACCCGGAAGGGTTTCCTCCCTCAGGTTGTTGGCCCTGAGCTGCCGTCCTGCACAGGGTGGGGGCTGCAGGAAAGGGTACGTGTGTGAGCGAGCCGTCCAGGGTGTGCACACGAGTACACTGGGGTCCCCTGAGCCTGCGGCAGCCCTGGGAAGTGGGCAGGTGGGGTCACTCCCAGCCTCAGGCAGGGAACTGACGAAGGGTGTGAGTGGAAGGCCGAGCCAGGACCCGGAGCCCTGTCCCCGAGCAGGGAGTGCACCTGTGGCTCCCTCAGGTGAGGCCCTTCTTTGCCCCTCAGCAGCTTCTGGACAACTTAGTGGGGCGAGGGGTGGGGCAGGGCCTCTTCAGAAAGCAGTGGGCCTCCCTGAGCATAGGGCTCTGTGGAAGGCCTCCTGGGCTTGGGGTGGGCAGCGACCCAGGACCATACCCCACGCACGTGTTAGAAAATGCATCGGGAAAGCAATGTGTGATTCAAGACTGACCTTGTACCTCTAGGTAAGGGAACCCCTGTAGCAGCAGCCACCCTCACTGTCCCTGTCACCCACCGCCCCACGACTGGACTTTGGGAGGCACAGTCAGCCACACTGTCCTGCCTTCACGGACAGGCCACCTACAAGGTCACTGCCCTCGGGGATGGCTGAGGAGCAGGTCTCTGGAAGGAGAAGGACACGCAGACTGCAGCCCGGCCACCGGGGCTGGCCTCCACCTCCACGGAACAAAGGGGAGTTTGTTTGATTTTCAGAGGAAAAATTTCCACTGGGGAAAAAATAGGGACTTATGTAGTCGACAATATCAGTTCTAAAAACGCAATTTCCGGATTAATAACGAAGATGCTGTTCTAGTTCAGCGGCTCCTTTAGGACGTGTGCTTGTGACCCACAGAACATATTGTGCCCCGTGGCTCTTGCCCCCCTTCCCAACGCGTGATGTCTATTAAAACAGCCCCTGCTGCACGGGCCTCGTGGAAATGAGAAACGCACCTCCCCAGACTGGCCGCTGGTTAAATATTAAAGCTCGCAACCTTAATATTTGTGCGTCTCTATATTGCATCAAAGTAAAGAAAAATTCACAAAAAGATGGTTTCTTATATGGAAGCTTCAACACCGAAAGGGTTTTGGCTTCTTTTATCCCACTTGGTCAGATGGTGTTTTACGTCCAGGGCACATCTGGACACAGCGAAGCGTTTGCCTGCCACACGGGGCACGTGTGCACTTCACAAGCACATCTGTGTGTGCTGCGCACACGGGCATGCACACGCACTCCCTCACACTCGAAGGCACTCGCTCACGTGTGACTTAAGAGCGCATCAGCCCTCGCGTTTGCAAGACCCCGGGACCAGGTGAGTACAGACACCCCCCACCCCCCGCTGCTTCAGGTGAGGGCAGGTTCCCCCGGGGCAGCGCGGGCAAGCAGAGCGCGGAGGACCCTGGGCACAGCAAGGAGCTTTGCAGTGTGGCTGACTGTGCCTCCCAAAGTCCAGCTTTGTCCTGAGAAGGCCTGTCAGCCACCACCTGCTGGGTGACGTGGGAAGAGACAGGAAGCAGGGCCAGGCCTATGGAGGGCAGTGGGGACAGTGGGCAGCCCAACAGCACTGCTGGAACCCAGACCCCGAGGTCAACATTTCAAGTGGAGGCCAATGGCTGCAGCGTCCAGCTGCTGGACGGGGACGAAGCCCACAAAGACATCCCCACCATGGCCAGTCATGCCAGTGAACAGTTGGGTCTCCCAGGCTCTGCCCCACGTTTCCCCGCGGCTCTGGGCCGGGGGCAGCTCACGGATTGGTACGTGGTATCTTTGTTTTTGCCCAAACTTGCTCTCACGGACGGGCCTTGTTCCCTTCAGGTAGGGGACGGAGACGTCTGAGCCCCGTGGTAAGCTGAGGCACATGATGCTGCACAGGGGAGCTGTCACCCAGGCCAACGCTCTGGGAGGGGACGACTCGGCCATGGCTGGACGTCCTCTGTGTGAGGATCTGGAGTGTGTGTCCAAGAGCTGCCAGGCATCGAGGGCACCTGGTCTGTCTGTGTTCCCACTCTTCCTGGTCCACGTCTGGCACCTGCTGCCCTCTGTGTGAAGAGTTCGCATCTATTTCCTTCCCAGGAACCGTGCTCTCCGCGGTCCTCGTCTGTCCTGGGGTGTGCTCTCTGAACCCCTTGCACCCTGCAAGTCCACTTCCACAGCAGGAGCTTCTGCAGTCGTCTCCTGGTGATGGCCATGGGAGGTCATGGTGAAGGTCATGGGTAGTGGTCATTGGAGGTGGTCATGAGTGGCATGCCCCTGGGCAATGGCCCTCAGCAATGGCTGAAGTGAAGGTCATGACAATTGTCCTTGGCAAGATCGTGGGTGGCCATCTGTGGAGGTCATGGTGAGGATCCAGGGAAAAGGCCAAGGGCAAGGGCCACGAGGGTGCCTTCAGGGAAAAGTGACCTGCTGGGGTCTTGTGTGGATCCTTGGTCGCCAGGAGTGGGTCAGCCACCAAACAGGCCAGGCCAGGTTTTTCAGGAGCAGGTAGAACAAGGTGGTTGGGTGTGAGGGAGACTTGAATGACCACGTCATCAGAAGTGAGCTAAGAGGGCCGTCAGGTGTCCGCGAGTTGGGTCCAGGGCAGAATTGTGGACATAGATGTGAAAGTTCGTTGTGTTTCTTTTGTGGTTTCCGTGATGAAATCCAGGGAGCCCACCTGGCAGTGTGCTTTGGTAGGAAGTCCAGAAAATGGTGACCATGCTCTCCATTGTGAGGTGCAGAACAAGCATCTAACTCCGAAGGAGTGTCCAGTGCTGACACGGAGGATGTGGCCAAGGGAGTCGTGACCAGTGTCCTGCAGGGAAGAGGGTCCGGAGTGAAGGTGGGACCTTCCCACCCACGGAGACCGCTGTCCAGCAGGTACACCATCTGAGCACCAGATGGGCATGTCTGTGCCCTACTTCAGACCCATTTCCTCCCACAGCCAAGGCTTTCTGCAGAGCCGTGGTCAGGGTGTCGCCTGCTGCAGGGGACACACGGGTGACCTGCACGTGACTCTCCTCCTGTGAAAACCTCAGGAGCACCCTCCTTCCACCTGTCCCTCTTGAACACAGAACACAAATCACCTTCTTGCTTAGTGCAGACGCTATAAAGGCTGGAAGCAGAGGGTACTTAGAGGTGCACGTCCTGAGGTTTCGGAACCTGCCTCTGTCCTCGCTGGCCCCTTGGCATTCTGGCCATGCAGCTGTTCTAACTAGGGCCGTGCTCTTTTGGAAGACCTCTGCGTGTTTTCTTTACCTCCTCCCTTGTTCTTTTCTAATATGGTAAAAGAGATGAGCAGGGTTTTTAAAGACATTGTTTTTAGTTGTAAATGGACACAATAGCTTTATTTTATTATTTATTTTATATGGTGATGAGGATCAAATCTCACACGTGCTAGGCAAGCGCTCCACCACAGAGCTACAACCCCAGCCCGAGATGAGTAGGTTTTGCTGAAACTTTCCAAACAGACTCACTTTTGCGTTGAGGTAATTGGGGGAAAGACCTCCATCTCGCATTTGGAAGGGGGGGGGGTAAGGAGGCTCCGCCCTCCCCAGCTTGCCCCGTGCTGGTTTTGGGAGCCAGTCTCATTTCACAGCTGGTGTGCTCCTGCTGACCTGAAACGGAGGTGGAGGGAGCAGCCGTTGGGGGGGAGCTGAGAACTTCCGGGGATTTTGACAACGCAGGAGGCACGAAGTGATGGATGAGTTTGCTGGGCTGGAAACCACGCCGTCTATGAGATTCTGAGCCTATGAATCTGAATTTGGATGCGCAGAGGGAAGAAGAAGCAGGTCAACAGCAGAGCAGGCTCCTTCAGAGCACCCAAGTCCTCATGACTCTCCCAGGCCACTTCGCTCATTCAGTTGCCTGTGAGCTGGCTCCAGGGCTGACGTGGAGGGTGGTGCTGGGACCTTCTACAGGTGTGTACTGCGTGCATGTGGCCAGGTGGGTCAGCAGGCCCACCAACTGCCGTCGTGAGGTGGTCTGTGTGGGTGATGGGTGCAGCTGTGGCCCTGGCTGGGGTGATGGTGAGCCTGGGAGCCCCTCTGTGCCACCTCTTCCTGATGCAGTGACCTAGGAGAGGGACCCCAGCCAAGTTCGCCCCTTCTCCCTGTGTCCTCATGACACCACTGGTGGCCCCGGTGATCTCTATGTGGTGGCAGCAGGTATGAGTTTGAGCCAGATCAGGTGAGGATGCAGGTGCTGGTCGAAGCCTGCTGTGGCCAGTGCAGGACCTGCCCCCAGATGTCCTCTGGAGGAGCTGGAGGTCAAGTGTCCATTACCTCCTGGGGGTTTGGAGCTGGAAGCAGGCCTGAGCAGGGCCAGGGGAAGTGACCACCACAGCTGGCTTCTCCACGGGCTTTATTAGCATACAGTGTGTGTTTATTTCTTCATCTGAAAGACTGGGCACGTGATGAAGACTTCCTGAAGTGCCGTGAGCACTGGATTGTGGGGAAGATGAGCCAGGACGGGACAATCTTGCTGTCCTGGTACTTCCCCACCTCTACGTCCACTGGGGAGTCCCCGCTGCCGGGCAGCTCCTCGCCGAAGTAACAAAGCACCCGAGACCAGCAGGTTACGAGGAAGGAAGGCTTAGTTTGGCTCATGGCTTCAGAGGTTTCATCCGTGGTGACGGGCCATGCTGCTCCAGACCCGAGGCAGCAGAGGACATCACAGTGGAAACAGGGGCAGGGGCTGCTCTCATCATGGCCACCGGGAAGTGACGAGGAGAGAGGGGAGGTTGGAGCCCAGTGCTCCCCTCAGGGCGCGTCCCACGGCCTCACTCTCCCGCCAGGTCAACCTGAAGGCCCCACCACCCCCGCGGCACCACAGCTGGGACCAAACTGCAACACGAGGGTTTCAGGGTCACTGCAGACTGGCTGGTGGCTGTTCTGGGTCTTGCCTTGTTATCAGTCGCTCTGCAGACGATGGAGAAGAATGTGGCCCACAGGAAGGCAGGCCTGGCCTGGGCTGGGCCT